GCTATTACATGAACGATCGCAGACGTGAGTTGACCGACCCCGAACTTGCACTTTTGCCCTGCCTTGTGGCGCCCAGAACCGCATTTCCTGCACGATTCTACGGGACCCCGCGATTAAGTGGCTGCCTCCCTCGGCTCCCCCATAGAGACTCCCCGCCGCAGTCCGTTCTGTTATTGCTGATGCCGCCGCCGCCGCCGCCGCTGCTGTTACCAGACCTTCCACTGACGCGATCTTTCTAGCACAATCAATCAACGAGTTGAAGAGGTTACAAGGGAAATTCGAGACGCATATCGAAAACTTCAAGGACTGGGCAAAGGTTGGCGGACCAATTAACCCGATATGGGCACGAGAAACGACTGAATTGCGCCGGGAACTGCACCGCGCGCAATGTCGGGCAGCAAGGAGGATATTCAATTCGGAGCAGGAGTCTTCGTCAAGGTGTCTCGGCGCATTCCTCGTCTACAGGAAACAGCGGGAATGGGCAACCCGAACCATCGTGACAGAAGAGGAGTTCCACCGGCGGCATGTGGAAGAGGTCAGGGCGTGCAACAACATTGGCAAGTTTGAGCGCTTCGGAGACAGAGACATTGCCTTTGTTTGCGACTTCTGCGACGGCCACCTCGTGTGGGAGGACCTAGAGACCATGCCGGCAATGCGCGCAGCGACAGATGCCACGATCAATGCCGTAAGACCAGGCTCGCCCACACAGCTGCCGCACTGGCAGGCGACCGCCTACAGCGCCGCGAATCGAGAGCAAAAGACAGTTGTGCATGCGCCCTTGGCCATCGCGAACCACATCGCGCCGTACCAAGGGGATTGGGTAGCTCGTCTGGAGTGCCCCTTCTGCGACGAGGCCCCGTACATTGAACCTGGCGAAGATGGCGACGACGAGATGAGAAACGCCCAAGACGAGTCTGGCTTCGAAGACCTCCAAGCGTTCCAAGAACACCTGGAGTGGCAGCACACGGCGACATCAATACCCGCTGTGCCACTGCCCAAAGCGGCCAAGGACTGCGTGGTGATGTGACAGCATTTTTCGATAACGATATGGCGGCGCATTGGTTGATTCCTGTACATATGTGTGTGGTCTTCATGCCGGCGAGGAGTTGGGGGGTTTACGAAGTGGGCGGGCTTTTCCACCGCATCCCACATGACGCATGAGATTATTCTGGTTTCCTTGATACCACAGTTTCCCTAGGGCAGATCTTCCACGACATTCATCTAGATACCACAGAGTCTGAAAAACAGACCAAAGAGACGACAGAGATACCGATCTGGTAGTGTTTGGGTCATATTCCACATTAAGACTGAAAATACCACTATTCGGCAGCAGACCTTCCCTTGATTTTTGTTTTGGGTCCCACACCTCCGTCGTCCGAGAAGCCCGCGCGCCGTGACTTGATTGATATACATGAACAAATATACACCCCTCCCTCTCCCCCCCTGGAAATACCAACGCAAGAATTCCACCCCCTGACCACAAACGGTGTTTTTAAAAGAAACGCCACCACAGAAACACAATGATGATGAGGCCCAGCGCGCCAAAGGGGCCGTACTGCTTGAGCATCAGCTCCCAGTTGATCCTGACGGCGGCGCGGCGGTACTTTTTGCTGTCGTCGCGCAGGCGGGAGCTCAGCTCGCCCATGCGCTCGAGGGAGTCGCCGCGGTAGAGCAGGTCCTCGATGTTCTTGGTCATGACCTTTGTGACGTCACGCAGCTCGTCGTTGAGCTTGTCGAGGTTTTGGGAGGCGCGGGCGTCGGAGTAGGTGGACTTTGTGCGGGAGATGAAGGTGTCGAACTCCATGAAGGCGTAGGGGCGCAGGGCGGGCGAGTGCAGCTGGGAGATCGGGTATGTGGTGGTGAACTCGCGGGCGAGGTCGGAGAGGTAGGTGAAGGCGAGCTTGCGCGGGTAGGAGCGGTCTGTTATGCAGAGGAAGGTGATGTCGTTGTCGATTAGGTAGCTGGAAGGGGGTTTGGTGTGTTAGTGGCGGTTGACTTCTGTGAGAGAATAGGGGAGAATGAGGACGTACTGGAGGTTGTAGGAGCCGCTTTCGATGCTGGCTTGTTGTTCCGAGTTGCGGGAGAGCTTGCGGAGGATCTGCTTGATTTGGGACTTGACTTCTGAGAGGGCAGCTTCTTGCTGCTCGTCGTCGACGGATGCGCAGAGCATCAGGCCTATCGCAAGTTGTGTCAGATTGCTCCTCTGGAGGGGTCCCTCGGGGGCGGGTGGATGACATACCGTCTAGCCTCGCTATTTGCGTTGAGCGGATCATTTTGGGAGTGTGTGAGGGTTGTTTGTGGTCGCGGATGAGCAGGAAAGAGGGGTGCGTTGGAGGTTTAGGCTCGACGTGTCGACACTCTGGCTTCGATCGTCGGGGGGAAGCTATCGCCGGTTGCTGCAGCTAGCTACGAATTGATAGGTAGATATCGACGTGTCCTCAAGACGCGGCCCAAGGTCTCGTGGCCAATCTCCGAATGTTCGATGTGTGTTGCGCACGAGCGGAAGTTTGTTGGAGATTCCGACGAACGGTGATGGTGGTATCGCCTAGAGTGCTGTGTGTCCTTTCTTCGTCAGGGGGTTTTTCTTCAGAAGGGCTCCTACAAAGTACACCAGAATCATGGATTCGCCAATTTACCTAACGCTGGCTCGCCGGTAGCTCTCCACGTTCCTGGGAATTGAAATGACACCATGGTGGACAGGGCTGGCCAATTGGAGCGTGTTTACAGGGGTATACCCTTGCATGCTAATGTGGCTTGCTGTGGCTGAACGTGCAGCCTCGTTTAGTCGAGACTTGTGTGTTCTGGACTGAGTGAGTTGTGAGACTTCAACCACTCCCATTTTCAAAAGGAGATGCGGCGGGGAAGACGTCACTTCTCAAGTCTGTATCACCACTCTTTACACAGGTGTTGTTTCTTGAGTGTTTTTGAATAAGTCCATTGTAGGAGTTCCCATCTTAGGCAAACGAATGTCTTTTTTGTAAGTTTCAGTGCCTCAACTCATCAATCTGAGGACCTTTGTGAGAATTGGCTGGAAGGAAGCAGCTACCTCCACCACCCGTTGCCGCCAATACCCGCATATTCACAAAGAAATCCTAATAAAATAATGCTATTCTCTAAGGACTATGCGTAGACTAATAAACGCCCAGATCAAACGCTTTGCATTGCTGAACAAGTATTCGTCGCCCGCCGAATTTATTGCCCAAAATGGCAGCCACGCCTCCTTCATCCGTAGACGTAGAAATGGTCGACGCCCTCTCGCCAGCGTCCACCCTCTCCCTACCACCAGACTCAGGCTCCGAGTACGAAGACGTCAAAACGAAAAAAGACTCTCCCAACCCGCAAATCACCTCCCTTGAAAAAATCAATCTCGAATCGCCCCTCACCGGCACCGACCTAGCAAACATGGCGAGAAGATCGGCGCGCAACACGAATAAACCGAGACCCGTCGTGGTCTCCCCCGCGAGACCGGCGAAGAGGAAGATCGTCACCAAAGTGTCCGCGGCGAAGAAGGCGCCTAAGTGGACCGCGGAGAAGCTCCTTACGGATACTAAGTCACCCCTCGCCAGCGCGGATCTCAGGGTACGACGCCCTCCTTTCCAGACTCGCTCTCCTCGGTTTTTTTTTCGGGTTCTGTAAGTGCTAACATCGCGAGGAACATAGACCATCCTCTGCCAGCCAGCAGCATGGGACATCCTCACCCCCGCCGAGCGCGCCGAGATCATCGCCCTGTTCCCCGCCGGCACGCGCATTCTGGACGAGGGCACCGAGAACGCGCGCCCTGACCTGGACGCCCTGCGCAACGACAACAACTTCCGGCACGACTGCGCGACGTACACGGACAACATCGCGCAGGGGAAGCACGACCCCGAGTGGCTGGAGCAGGCCTGGGCTGCGCGCGAGCGCCGTAGGATGGGCGATTTCGACGACTACCTCGTGCAGAAGTTCGAGGACGAGTGGAGCTGCGAGTTGCCTGAGGATTTCAAGCCGAGGAGGGACGCGCCTGCGCCGGCGGAGGGTGTAGAAGAGGGCAAGGAGGCTGCGGGTGCCGCGGGTGAAATGGAGGTTCAACCATTACTTGCGGAGGCTGGTGAAGAGACCGAGGTCGCTAAGCAGGAGTCGATTCAAGAGGATTCCAAGGACGACCTGATCAAGGACACGACGGAGATGGCTAAGGACGATGCCGAGGGCGATCTGAACCCCAAACCGGACGCGGGCGAAGAAGCCTCTGGAAACGAGCCTGTTGTCAAGCTTGGATCACCCGTCCCCGACGATGATGGCGTCGTTGGCACCAAGAATACGACGACGGAGACGACTGCAGCAGTGGCTAATGGTAAACCTACGGGACCATCCATCTAGGAGAGGGGAGCTGGGTCGAAGGGACGGGCAGGTCGCATGAGGAGACGAGACGATGCAGTCTCATGATATATCACGACTTTATGACTTATGGCCTTATGGGATTCAGAGTTTCATGGCGTATAAGGGATTGGTAGATGCAAAAATTGACTTGGCGGGCATAGGCCTCAATAATTCAGTGGATTGTCGTTTGGTGGCCTATCTGCGTTGACTGATCTTGGAGGAATACACTGCCACATCCTTCTCCCAAGACAGAGTAACAAGACACGGAAATCAGTTTCAGGGATTCAAAAAACAATGAGTATAATCAATGAGGATAATTCGAAGGTTCCGCGCAAGCATCGATCTTGGGAGTGATTCCCACCACGGCACAGTGACATCTCGGTCGAAGCCCCACATCGCCGAAGGAAACCCCAAATTCAGTGGGCGAAAAGCCCGAACCACGGCGGAATGTTAAACAATCTAATTTCAACCTCAATATCACCAGTGCTCAGGGTTCTCAGTCGAACCAGACCCGACCAATTTTTCGGCTAAAATAATAGCATCATCGCAGGAGAAGATCTGAGCATCAGTGATCCAACTCCAAATAGCGCCCAGAATCATTCACGCAGAGGCTCGCCAGCCTTTTGTGTTCATACCCAGTCATCATGGCACCCTCGGCAGAGAATCACAGTCGCTCGCATAGCCTCTTGTTGTTTCAGAAGCTTCTCAATTTGAGGGACAGCGCAAGTCCTCTGACGTTAGTCCTCGACAGTCTCGAGCAAGGTGCTGCGCCAGTCGTGCGAGAGTTCATCTCTAGAGCCAAGGTGCGTAGCTAGTAATCATAATCCTAATTTTACCCAAAATGGCAGCGACTGCTCTCTGAGTTCAGTACATATGGCTGTGTCATTCGTTTCAGCGATTTGTTAACCTCTTGGCAGATCGCAAAGGCAAAGGTCATACTGCTCTCCTTCGCAACCCTCAAGCGCCCACGAGATGTCGACGTCGTCATCAAGGCCCGTGGCAAGAACCTGAAATCTCTGAGGGCAGAGATCTTGTCACATTATCCCAAGCCAGACCCTTCCGCAGCCAAAGGCGCACCTCCATCACAAAGTATGTAACTCTTCGCGTACTTCCAGAATCTGTGACTCACCTTTTACAGAAACCATCATATTGGTCGACTCAGTCAACGACCTCGCTACGGCAGCGCCCCAGATGGTCCTGACCTTCCTGTCCAGCATTATTATGCCCTCTGTGTCATTGGTAGCAGTCTATCACACCGACGTTCCTCTCGTTCTGCCACGTACCGTGAGCGAGTATGAGCCCCACCCACTGACGGTGCTCTCTCACCTTGCCACATCGATCCTTCGTTTGTCCAGCTTAAGGCAGGAGATTGAGCGCCAGAAGGCGAGGAACAGGAGCATTCAGGAGCCGGAGTGGGGTCTTCGTGAAGAGAGGGAGGGTGTGTTGATTGGTCTCAAGGGCGAGACCAAATCCGAGGATTACCGCGGTGTCGTGGTGGAGATGGAGGTTCGAAGACGGAGTGGACGTGCCATGGCTGAGAAGTTTGTCCTGCTGCCTTTGGCAGGTTCTGCTTCGTCTTCTGCCTCTGGGAAGGGCAGCAAGACGTTTCTCCTTTCGGAGCACCCTGTGTTTGCCACACCCGACAGTGCAGGTGCGAACGGCCGTGCTGAAGATGAGGAGGAGCCGGAGAGCACATTCAACCTGGGTCTAACGGAGAAGCAAAGGCGGGATAGAGAGGGCATTGTGCTGCCTTACTTTGACGCGCAGACAGATATCGGAGCCGGCGAGGGAGGAAGAATTTTGTACGAGATGGGCAGGGAGGATGACTTTGACGACGAGGAGGACGAGATCTAGACAGCGTCACCGGTGGTAGTCAATAGACAAATGCATCATGAACATCACGATCAAAACACTTTGCCGCATCCAATACTGGGGATGCCTTCTAGGAGAGGCAGCAGCAGCACCTGCCTCAACGAGGTGGAGGGCCACTGCCTTTCACGTCTTGTCTCTTGCCTTCCCGCTTGCTTTGGCCTCAGCATCAGGTAGCGTCCTTCCTGAGGATACCGGCACCTTCCTGCCTCAAGCCTGAGTCACCACCCCACTGAGGCCAAAATTCAACCAGGCACGTACCGCGGCTGCCTGCAATTCACCGTCTCGACCTTCGCTTCTTGCCTCCAGAATTAAATCGCAGTCTCTCAGTCGCTTCGGTACGTATCGTTACTGATCGGGGGCAGCGCACAGGCCACCACCCAGGTCTATATAATTCTGCCCATCCTCCGCAGCTTTGGAATTTTCCCTCTTTTCTCCTTACCTTCTCTTTGCCTTTTGGCTTAGATCAAGTGTAGTATCTGTTCTTTTCAGTTTAATCTCTGAAAGATGTCCATTGGACATCACATTGATTATTCTTATTTTTGATCTTCAGGTGGGATGGTCCCTGTGGCTTGCTGCATACCTCCTTCCATCGTGTCCCTGGTATTACACTGTCTCCAGGCGACGCAAAACCCTTTTCTGGTTTTCATTGCTGTCTCTGGCTTGTCCAGGGTTGTGAAGAAGACTGTCGCGTCCATGTGTTGTTGAGACTTGGCGTTTGGATTGGAAGGTTGGCCGAGAACTAGTAAGCAAAAGTGTAGGTAGGAAATTGAGGCTCAAATTCTTTTTTTCGTGATGTTTGGATCAACGTTGTCTTGGTGTTGAAGTGCCGAGGGAAACCGCTAGAGCTTACCAGCGGCTTCAGTGGAGCAAATGGAACGTAGGGTGCAGTAGAACGTGCCTGCCGGAGCTCTTGCCAGGCTACCCCAGCGCTAAATGGTAGAGGCTGGGAGCTAAATGAACCGCACATGCCAGCCGTCCGAAGACCCCAAATTTTCTTCGGCCACAACGTGACGTCGTTCCTCACCACTTACCACAATCCATTCAGTAAACAAATCGGCAAAGCCTTTGACTTACTAGAACGATATACATACGCCATCAAAATGGTTCGTGGACGCGATAGCCGGCAAGGCTGGGACGAGACAGACCGACGCAGTCGTCATGGCGGTGGAGGCCGCGATGGAGGCCGCGATAGAGCCCGCGACAGCTACCGAGATCGCGACGCTAGACGCGATGACCGCGATAAGAGAGACGACCGCGACCGAAGATACAGATCCAGGTCTCGTGACAGACGCGACAGAGACCAACGCCCCAGATCTAGAGACAGAGAGAGGGATCGTCCTCGCGACGATCGCGACGCCGGAAGGCCGCCCAGGAGAGATAGGGATGGATGGCAGGACCGAGACGACCGGCGGCGTAGAGACGATGATCGCGGAGATGACAAGCCGTCCAGACGGCGAGACGAGGAGGATGAAGCTCGTCGTGAGTTGCAGCCCAGCAGTCCGCACTTTCACTCTCAGAAAGCTAACGTAGTCACGGCAGCACCACCTCGTGACAAGGACCGTAGAAGATCAGCGTCGCCCCGTCGAAGCGCTAGCCCGCCCCCAACCCGCCGCGATGGAAGATACACCGAGACTCTCCCCACGCGCACATTAGGAAAGAGCAAGAAGGAGCAGCACACCATGTCTTTCAAGATGGGACGCCACGACTCGCCGCAAGTCGACAGTGGACGCGACAGCGAGCGCGGTGATACACCGATGACAGGTCGGGATGATCGAGACGATAGGGATGACGAGCCAGAGCCCGAGGTCGAGGGCGACGATATGGACGCCATGCAAGCTATGATGGGCTTTGGCGGCTTCGGCACGACCAAGGGACAAAAGATTGCGGGTAACAATGTTGGCGCTGTGAGGAAGGAGAAGAAGACGGAGTATCGCCAGTACATGAACAGACAGGGTGGCTTCAACCGGCCCCTTAGTCCCAGTAGGTAGGTATTTTGGGTTTGCGCATGGTTGAGACAGAAATTGGGGAAACGTTTGACAGACGAGTTTGTGAAGACGGAAGCTGCTACAAAAAGCTTTATTGCAGAGGCCGTACAGCTATATTTTGCCTTCGCGCAGTACGCCTCCGCGCGTATCGAGCATTGGAGGCAGAGGGCCATTCAGTAACGTGGGAATTAATACTCTTGCGCTTTTGCATTGTTTCCAAGATACCTATAGACGAAAAGAGACCATTATGATATGCACCAGCCTGCCTACTACTGATGTACGAGGTCATCGAGACTATCCTGAAGCTGTCGATGCCGGTGCGGGTGGTGTTGACTCCTGTGTCTTTCCCTCCTTCGCCTCCGCCTTGAGCTCGCTATCGAAAATGTCCACCGCAAGGCTAGCGTCCACAAAGTCCTCCAGCTCCTCGGTCACCGTCTTCAACTTTTCTTTGACGGCGATGCTGCCTTCGAATCCTACAATGTGCCTCGCCGGCGGGTTCTCATGGCCTCCGATGGCCGTCAAAGCGTGCACAGTTTCCATCACGAGACGATCCGTCGCGCTCGGCGGCAGCTTTGGGTATCTCACAATGACCTCCGTATCAGACTGCTCCATGGCAGTGTCAGGGTTCATGTTGAGCACGTTGCCGAGCATGTCTCGAATGCTCGGAGCGGGGTTGATCTCGGAGTCGTAGTAGGGCAGATTGGGGGCAAATATGATCTTGTTCGTCAAGGATTGGATTTCCTTATTCGGCTGCACGATGGTGACCTTGATGTTGAAGGGGGCGATTTCGTAGGCCAGGGAGTCGCAGAAGCCCTCGAGGGCCCAGATTGCGGAAGTGTAGATGGGCATTCCCGGCGTTCCTATGTGACCGCCCGTGCTGGAGAGAATGATGATGTGTCCCGTGTGCTGAGAACGTAGGAGCGGTAGAGCGGCCTTGATGAAGTTGACCTGGGAGAAGAAGACGGTCTCGAATTGGTCCCGAACCAGGTTCTGGGTCTGAGGGTTCGTGGAGAGCTCCTCGACGCTTCCAACGACAGCTATCCCGTGTCAGCCTCGCTTTCGATTGAATGTTTCCTGTCTGGTTTACCTTCAGACCTGCAACACAGCAAGATATCTATCCTCCCAAACACCTGTACGGCTTCTGCTACAGCGGCACCACACTGGCCCATGACACGTCCATCGCAGCGGATGCCGCGTATCCTGTCCTTCCAACCCTCGCGGTCTTTCCGGTTACTTTTACACTCATTGATGAGCTCTCTAAACTCGGCGCTGCGCTCGTCATCCTCGATCTCACTCGGCGGGAGGCATGCGACGACGTAATCGCCGTGGGCCAGCAGCAGCCTGATGAGCCGGATGATGAGCGGTGAAAGGGCGGTGGTGAGAAACCATGTTCGAGGCGAGTTGTGGGTTGCTGCTTTCTATCAGCCTACAGTACGCCTTGAATTGAATAGAATAATCTTGAGCTCACGGAAAGACGGCGCGGGAATGGAGTGAGTGTGCCTCGCCGCCGCGGCTTCTGGCGCTTTGCGGTCAGCCATGTCTGGCGGCCGTCGGAGTTGCTCTTCTTGGAATGACGAGCCAATCAACGTTGCATCGCGATCAATGATAATTGTCAAGAGAGCAGGACTGTCCAGACGCGGGATGGATCTGTGAGAGGTGGGTGCGTGGGGATTTGTATGCAGGCCTTGGTCGTTGGGCGAGCATGCATCGAGTAGCGGGGGGTGGTGGCCTTGAAACGACGGCAGCTGAAGGAGTGATGCTAATGTGAATACGGCATCTTTATCAGAGGTTCGATATTAGAGGATGATACGGGCGATCAGATGTACAGGGGGAGCGGCAAGACGTGCCTTTAAGGTTGCAATCCCTGATAGACGCCTGCAACCGCAGCTGGATGAGGGCAGAAAAGGCAGCTATTCCAGCCCAACCTCCGAGAAGAACACCGTGAACCCCCAAGACCCAGCCCCCAAAAACGCCCTGGCTCGCGGATCGCAGCGCCCGAAGCGAGACCCCGCCGCGGCGAGATTCCAGCGGCACCCCACGCCGCTGCACGCTGAAATCTGGGGAACGACCCCTCCATCCAGTCACGTCACTTTCTGTGCCGACACCGGTGTCTCTTCCGCACTTTGGCGGGGTTGCGGTGTCTGGAATAGCGACTTTTTTTTCCACTGGCACCACTCCCCTCCGTGACTCACGAGAACCGATTCATCCCGACATAAAACGTCCCCGACGGCCCGTCTTCCTGCATTTTTGTGTTGCTGATTCCCTACTGCCATATCTCGACCCAATTGAACACCGATATACCGCCCAACATGCCTACTCGCGCCGACATCACCTACTTCGGCGCCGGCCCCGCGCTGCTGCCCACCGACGTCCTCGAGACGGCGGCTCAGGCCCTGCTCGACTACAACAACACCGGCCTGGGAATCGCAGAGCACTCCCACCGCAGCGAGATCGCGACCAATATCCTCGAGGAGGCCAAGGCCGACCTGACGACCTACCTCGACATCCCCTCCGACTACGAGATCCTCTTCATGCAGGCCGGCGGCAGCGGCGAGTTCTCTGCCACCGTCTACAACTTCGTCGGCGCATGGGTCGCCCGCCAGCGTGACGCTGTGCTCAAGCGCCTGGGTGCCACCGAAGACACCCCCGAGGTTATCGCCGAGCTCCGCAAGATCGTCGACGAGAAGCTCAAGCTCGACTACCTCGTCACCGGCGGCTGGTCCCAGAAGGCGAGCGCCGAGGCCGCGAGACTGCTCGGCTCCGAGTTCGTCAACGTTGCAGCGGACGCTCGCAAGGTTAACGACGGCAAGTTTGGCAAGATCCCTGACGAGAAGGACTGGAAGCTCAGCGAGGGTGCCGCTATGGTGTACTACTGCGACAATGAGACCGTTGACGGCGTCGAGTTCCCCGGCTTCCCCGCCTCCCTGGCACCTAAGGACAACGACGAGGGACCCATTGTTGTGGCCGACATGTCCTCCAACATCCTCTCCCGCAGAGTCCCTGTCAAGAACTACAGCGCTATCTTCTTTGGTGCGCAAAAAAACCTTGGTCTGACCGGTGTCACGGTCGTGGTCATCAAGAAGAGCCTCCTCGCGGCGCAGCCCTCGCCCGCGCTGATGCGCAAGCTGGGTCTCCCCATCAGCCCCATCGTTCTCTCCTACGAGACCATCGCCAAGAACAACTCCCTGTACAACACCTTGAGCATCTTTGAGTGAGTCATGATACCACCTACCCCTGTCAATTGGGATCCATCTAACGGGCATTAGCGTCTACGTTGCCGGACAGGTTCTCAAGAAGCTGCTGCGCACTTTCCCTGACAAGGCCGCCGGCCAGGAGGCTGTCGCAAACAAGAAGGCCTCCCTGATCTACACCGCTCTTGAGGCGCACCCTGATGTCTACCGCATCGTCCCCGACAAGTCCGTTCGCTCCCGCATGAACATCTGCTTCCGCGTCACCAAGGGCGGCGACGTCGATGCTACGGAGAAGGCTTTCCTCAAGGACGCCACCAGCATCGGCTTGACCGGCCTGAAGGGCCACCGCAGTGTCGGTGGTATCCGTGCCAGCAACTACAACTCCATTCCTCTCGAGGGCGCGGAGAAGCTTGCTGCTTTCATCGAGTCTTTTGCCAAGGCTTGAGAGGATGTTGGTGAGGGTGCTTGTGTAGCGCCACAGATCTTATGATACCATGGAAAGGAGCATTTTAACAAAAGAGGGACAAAACGGGTTTGAAAAGCTATATGGGGATATTTAGGGAGCATTGAAATAATTCAACATTTACAGGGTGACAAATTTGACGCCTTTGCACAAAAAGACTTATCAATATCATCTACATTCATCCAAGACCTCTTCTAATATTCAAGCTTTCATCTCCGCCTCAAGCCATGAGGGGATAGCAGGTGGCTTCTCCCACCCATCGAGGAATGCCTCCTTGGGGCCGCTCGGCTTCGCATAAATACCGGTCACGTACCAGACCGACTCCCCCTTCTTGATAGTATGTTGCAGCGTCGGAATGGTCGTGCGGTTCTCGACCAGGTTCGAGTTCGGATCCGCATTGACGAGGTTGGCTACCCGCTCGATGGAGCTCTCCAGAGCCTTGATGCCAACAGCACCCTTGGACACCGCAAACGAGCCGTCACTGCCCTTGGCAAGGCCCTCTGGTGTGTTCGTATCGTAATTTCCAATGATTTTAGGAGACGTTCCCTCGTAAGTCTTCGCATCGTAGAGATCGAGGTAACGCCCGTTTGTCGAGTTCTCGTTACAAATGGCAAAAGAGCCGTCGGCTGTCATGACTTCGCGGCCGGCCTTGATATGATGAATGCGTAGATGCCAGTTCGGAGTCGATTCTTCCGGCGGGATGAGAATGCTCTTGATTTCAACATCGGGGAAAGGCTTCCAGGCTGACACGAGCACCGGCTTGCCATCTCTGGTCTCGATACCGGCATACTCTGAGCGTCGTCGAGTCTTCCAGTATTCACCCCCGTCGTCTGACAACCCCAGCTGCGAGGCCAAGGCATACTGCTCCAGAGAGAAGAGACCTGGCGGAACAGAATATGCGTATGAACTGGAGTACGCGAAGCCGCCGTACTTCGAGTGCGTGCCCTTCATGGGGTAACTGCAGGCTTGGCCGGAGGAAAGGAGCATGCAGTGCCCACCAATGTTGCTCATGATGTGGCCGGGCTGCTCGAGGGGCTTGATTTTGGGGATGACCGGCCATGCCTGTTCCTCTTCAGAGGTCCAGAATGGGTGGTCTTCGGGGACGGCTAGGCAGATGAAGGCGAGGCAGGCCCAGTACTACGAAAGTTAGTAAAGGCATCTTCGCCCCTGTGTGGAGGAAACTCACCGGGCTTCCAGGACTGTTGTAGTTCTCTGCCATGTACATGTTCGGGTACGAATAGCCAATGGACAGCGTCCCGCTTGGCGTCCACATGCCGTGCTGCGTCTGCCACCACCTCAAGTGTCGCATCACGATGCCCTTCACCATTCCCCAAGTCAGGGGCGCAGGCAGCTCAACACCGGCATACGCGAGCGCGCCCCAGAACGACACCATGGCGAAACGGTATCCTACACTACGACCGAAGGGAATCGCGCGGCCCTCCTCGTCAAAGTAGTGCACGAGGTCCAACGCAACTTGTTGTGCCCTCCGTCGGAATTCCGCAGCCCGCTCGGGCTCGTCCTCGCCGGCGAGCTTCGCGTATAAGAGCTGGAGAAACTGGATGGCGAAGCTGGAGGAGTAGTAGTCCATCATGTGGATGCCCTCGGGGCCGTCGTTGGACCAGCCGCCTCCTCGGTAGAACGTGTTGAGATGCTCGATGTCAGCGTCGAGACGTTCTTGTGAGAACTTTCCGCCGTTCTTCTTGAGGCCTAGGTTAGCGAAGACGCGGAACCAGAGCCAGTTGGTGTTTGGCATGCTGATGTCGTGTTAGTAATTGTCTGGTGGCCTATGGAAGCGTCACGGCTTACTTTTTCTCGTTGATCGAGTTTCCGAGCCAGTTCTCTACGTTGCCCCGTTCCTTTTCGGAGAGACTATCCCAAATGACGGGTGCGACTGCGAGTGAGAAGCCTATGATCCATTAGCCCGGGTATTCCACCTTACGACCATGGACCTCACCAAAAGGGCACATTTCAACCATGCGCTGGTCATTGTCTCTCGGGTATCCCCAGTACTCGGGGTTCTCTGGATCAGTTCCAGACTTGATACCCTGAATCCACCACTCGGTACCACGATACTCGCCTCCACCGGCCAGGAGACATGCCAGACCCCATAGTGGGCGGCAGATACCCTCAACTTCGGCAGCGGCCTGGTCGAACCTGACGGCCGTTCCGCCAGGACACTTGACGCGTGCTTTTTGCGGCGAGAAGAATGGCTCAAGCGGGTCGAGGAGGGTCCGGAGGAGCTCTTGCACCGATGCTCTGTCGGAGAGCTTCACTTTGGAGAATGGGTGGGCGCCATTGTAGCCCAGCACGAGGCCGGTCTTGGGTTCCTCCATGGCGTGCAGCTGGCAAATCACACGAGTACGAAACCTTGGATAGAAAACAACGTGGGAGCAAACTGTCGACTGAAGAATGAAGGAGAAAAGAGACGAAGATAAGACGAGGCGGGGGAGAGCTCCAAGGTTATGTCCAGCATCCCACGTAACAACAACCTCGCTCTTGAATTACCCCGGCCTACATGACCCGTCACAAGAGACCAACACCTCATCCCGCGTAGACATCGGGCTAGCTGGGCGACGGCATGGTAAGATGGTGGGGCAGCCCTCGCACCAATGTCGTCGCCTGCTTGGAGCGAGGCCGCAGGATCGTCTACGGAATATTTATGTAGCTCGGTGCTTGGTACGAGGAGCATGAGGGGCATCCCCCCTTCCTCCCGCTGATCATATGTTGGGGTTCAGTGGGGGTGGGGATGATGGGGGAGGGGTAGCCCATGTGGAACTCTTCTTCATGGAGGGGGAAAGCATTCGCGGCTAAATGGGAAATTTGGAGAGTTGAGGTCGGAGACTAGCCCGGCCATCTCAGCCACGGGTTGTCATGCATTGAGTTTGGGGGTTGTCGGGTCGCAGTTGTGTGGGTGTGTGTCTTCGGTCGTCGCTTTTCCGACTCGGAGCCGGTTGTTTCTGAATGCCTGGCGTGCGGTCTGCATACCCGAGCTTCTTGGTGACACTTGACGCGGTCTCCTTCAACAACCCATGGAAGGGTGGCCGAGTTGGTTATGGCGCCAGGTTAAGGTTACCTTAGCAACATTCCTGGTGGGGCAACCCGCGCGAGTTCGAGTCTCGTCCCTTTCAAGCCAATTTTTTGCTCTCATTTGCAATTGCTAGAAAGAACGCCTCTTTTTTTTGGCTGCCGTTTTTGTACTTGTGATCAATTTTCCTTTCGATGATCGAATGATTGGGCTCTGAGCTGATGGATTGACCACTGAACGTAGAACATGGAAGGGTATTTTAGTTACCCACTCACTACGAAGTCCTCGCTCTTTTTATAACACACCGGCGGCAAAGTGCGCAAATTTCAATCGGTACAGTAAGAAGCCCTCTACAATTGAATACCATCGTTGAGATTCTTCACACGAACCTAATGGACGCATTCATGTATTGTCAAACGCAGAGGTAAAGCAATTGTGACGCTGGAAAGCTCGCCGCTAAGATGGGCGCACAACCGACTGCTTAGATAATGGAGCGTCGGCCCGTTGCTCATTTCAAATGATATCTGTGCGCGAGTCGGGTAGTTGTCCTCCGTGGACACTACCGACAAATTCTCCCTCCTTATTCCACATATTGTTCGGCAACTAACCATAGGCCAACGGATTCCACACCATGCCGCCGGCTCCCTCATCACGCCGCGTCCGTCGACGTCGAATCGCCGAAGAGGACCGTCAGCGGGCCCCGAGAGCATGCACCCGTTGCAAGGCTCGGAAAAGCAAATGCATTGAGACACCATCGGGTATCTGCCAACGATGCCAGCAAGGATCCTACACATGCAGCTTCGAGCGGCAGGAAACGCCTACGCCAGGACCACGAGATTTGGAGGCTTCGGCACTACATCAAACTCCACCATCGAATTTGACACCGACCTCGAACGCCGGACCTCTTGCCGATGGCCCAGAAGACCCTCCTTCGCGGCGGGATCTATGTTCCGATGGCGATGCCCCTGAGAACTTCATGTGGCCTCGCTTCCTGTCCCGTCTCAGAAACGCCTTCTACCTCGAGCCACATCCGTCACCTGCCGAGAGAGATATGACCAGACTGGAGGCCGATCTAGCATATACTTCATCGATTCCGAAGTCTGCAGAAGGTCTTCGTCTGCAAGCTGCCATCGGCATCCTGCCGCCCTGGCCAGTAGCAGACTTTTTGGCTACGCTATGCATAATGCACGGGACCGACTGTTTCTTCTATTTTGACCAGCAAGAGTTTTTAGCGCAGTTACGGGAGTTCTACGATAATGATAGATCCCCCCTTCGCCGGGACGCCAGTTTTGTATGTCTGTTGCTCGCGGTTTTTGCCCTCGGCAGTCAATGGACCCCACGAGCACGCCCGGAAGGCATAGATGCCCCAATCTGTCCAGGTGACCCAGGTCAAATTTTCGGCGATCATGCTCGCATTCTCATGGCCGATACTATGGACCGAGTGAGCATGTACTCCGTCAAGGCCGCATTTGTTCTGGGCGCCTATCTTATGCCATCAAGTGCCATCGGTGCCTCCTATTTATACATGGGGTTGGCACTGAGAAAGGCACTTATACTTGGTCTTCATCAGGAAATAGACGACCCTAGCATCCTTGACCATGAAAAGGAGATGAGACGCCGCTTATGGTGGGCCATTTATTCACTTGAAAGGTACTAATGAAAAGATAATATTCGATTGTGGGTTTAGCTAACTTCTGCGCCAGGACCCTAACTATCAAACTGAACAGGCCTAGATCTGTCACTCAGGACATCATTACAGCCAGGTTACCTAATCTAACGCCTGATGATTATGGTCAACCATATCGCAATGTTTTGCACCAAATCGCAAATGCCGAGTTTGTTAAAGTCATCGACAAACTCGTTGAACCAGCGTAAGTAGAACGAGCTGTTCGCCAAGTTTGCCATAATAACTTTGCTGGCGTAGGAATTGGTCGAGCGATTCTCAACTTCCACTAAAGGAGTACCATGATCTTCTGAAGTCTTACAAGAATGACCACCTGACGGGTCTGGATTTGACAAATCTGGACCCGAGGTCTCCTTACTATCGCGCTATCTTCCATCTCCACCTCAACTATCACTTTGCATGGATAGCTATTGGTAAATCATCTGTTGTGGCAATGACTCGATTCTATTTGCGAAAGAACCAATCTACAGACGCCATCATTGACGGAGTCAGTCTCATGTCGGGCCCGTTTCGTTATTGCAAAAAAGCAGCTCAAAAGATGCTCGGTCTTCTCGAGAGCGCTAGTCAGTCTGGAAATCTTGCACCTAGCTCTTTTACAGACTTTCAAGCTTGCAGTATCGCTACCATCATGCTGGTGCTGACCGGTATCACATCCAGGGATCCAGAGTACAACGCTCAGGTAGCGTTCGGCCTGGATTGCCTTCGGAAAATGTCTAACATGCACACTGCTGGTCGCATGGCAATCAACTTTGTGAAAGCTCTCATGGCCATTGCAGAAGAAGCACGTTCAAAGATAAGACTTGTGGGAGGAGCATCAGAAGCCCAGGACACCCGCGAGGAAGGGTCATCGGAATTAGCCTATATAGCTTGGGCTGACTGGTTCTCCAGCACCACAGCAGTCTCAGGCATCGCGCCTTCTGCGCCTGGAGGGCTTCTGAGCAACCCAGCGGCATCGGGATCAGGCGGAAGGTTGTGGGAAGAGGCTTCTGCCCTTCTGCAACTGCGCAATCTATCCACACCTGGCATGTCTCGCCCTCTCCGAAGTCAACCTGGCCTCGATGCCGATCGCACTGGCGATGATGTCTTACCGCCGCCGCCACAGACCACGGCAAATCAAAGACAACCATCCGTCGAAACAGACCTCAACATCGACTTGCAGATGTTCAGCGAAAATCACCTGCAGCTGATGGGTCTTACTGGAATGGACATGTTAGATTTTGATTTTGGGTTCAATTGAACGTGGCTTGTAACTTCTACCCGATTTCCTTTTTCCCTAATACCTCGGCTCTAGTCAAACCTCATTCGAGGGATATAGAACAGTATCAGCACCTACAAAATCCTCCTTCAGACTCCTGATGCTGGTGAAGCGTGCCAAAAGGGTAGTGCTGGTCGCCTTGTCATTGGTGCCGCTAGCCCGGCCACCACCAAAGGGCTGATGACCAACAACGGCACCGCTGCTCTTGCTGTTGATGTAAAAGTTGCCAGCAGAATGGCGGAGACCGTTCTCGGCGGCCTCAATCGCCTTTGTATCGCGAGCAAACACGGCACCGGTCAGGCCGAACTGTGTGGTCGAGTCAATCACAGGAAGCAGCTCCTCGTACTTCTCATCGGGGTAGACGTAGACAGACAGGATCGGGCCGAAGAATTCCGTCTTCATCAGCTCGTTTGTCGGGTTGGTGGTTTGGAAGATGGTCGGCGAGACGAACCAGCCTTTGCTCTTGTCCGCGTTACCTCCTGCCAAGAGCTCAACTTCAGGATCTTTCTTGGCCTTGTCGATGACCGCCTTCAGCTTATCCCACGACCTCTCGTGGATGACGGGTCCGATGAAGTTGTCGACCTGCTCAGGCGAGCCAACCTTGAGCTTGCCAGTCTCTTCCAGAAGCGTCTTCTTGAATTCAGGCCAGACCGACTCGGCCACATACAGACGAGAAGTAGCCGAGCACTTTTGCCCCTGATATTCAAAAGCGCCACGGATAGTGTTAACCACAGCGTTGCGCACATCAGCACTACCATGGACAAGGTGGAAGTTCTTGCCGCCCGTCTCGCCGACAATGCGGGGGTAGCTCTCATACCGACCCTCTGCCACGGCCTGTCCGATCTTACCGTACAGCTGGCGGAACACATCGGTGGATCCAGTGAAGTGGAGGGCCGCGAACTTGGGGTGGTGGAGGATGGAAGAGGTGATGGGCTCGGCTTCACCTGGGATGAGCTGGATGACGTTGGGAGGAAGGCCTGCCTCGAGAAGAATCTTGTGGAGGAGGTGGCTGGAGTAGAAGGCGTAGTCTGAGGGCTTCCAGAGAACGACGTTGCCCATGATTGCGGGCGCAACGGTCAGGTTTGCGCCGATTGCGGTGAAGTTAAAGGGGCTGATTGCGTAGACGAAGCCTTCGAGGGGGCGGTACTCGGTTCGGCTAGGGGAAATTGAGTTAGTATAGGATGCTTCACGGCCGGATGACATATCGATTGGAGACCGTTTCAACTTACTTCCAGACCCCGGCATCATTCAGGATGTTTTGTTGCTTGTACAGCTCAGCGGCGTAGTGCACGTTGAAACTATGGCAAGTCATTAGCAGACGCGCCTCATGGGTATGGAACAGCGGCCACCAACCGTAGAAAGTCAACTGATTCAGCTGCTGAGTCAATCTCCGCTTGCCAAATGTTCTTGCCTTGTCCAAGCATCGTAGCGGCCATAATACTCTCCCGGTATTTGCCAGCAATGAGCTCGGCTGCGCGGAGGAAAATAGCAGCACGGTTCGTGAAGGATGTGTTTTCCCAAGCAGTTTTGGCTTCCAATGCTCTCGTTATGGCTTCTTGGACTTGTTCAGGGGTCGTTTGCGGGTACTCTGCCAGAACGGTAGAGTGGTCGCTGGGAATATGTTGCTTGGCGATGATTGCATCCTGTCCGGTAGGTATCAGTAATGGAGTGAGAATTAAAGACTCTGAGAAGATGGAAACCTTTATTTGAGAGACCTGAGATGGCACTTTGATAGGGAGCTCGCTCTTGAGTCGTGTGATGGTATCCTGAAGCCTCTGGCGTTCTACCGATCCCTTGCTATACGACGGCTTGGAGCATGTTAGTTGACTTAATATAAGTCCTGGAGATCTTTCGGCAGCTTACATTGGGCTCATTTCGAATCGGAGGAGCTTTAAAAGTTCCAAAAGCTCTGGCATTTCCACAGGAAATCAAGCGCAGCGCTTGTGGTGATCGGGCTGCCCTGTTCATGGGGCTGGAGAGTTGTCGCAGCATAGGAAAAGTCATGACGGGCTTTTCTGTGCAAGTGGCAAACAGAATATTACACTCAGAAATGGTCTACATAATTCAATGTGAGATTTATAAGGTCTAGTGAGCGATATACAGGCTTCGTATGCCGTGGGGTAGCTTGCCGACATCGTCTGCACCTTGCCGACGGGGTCGGCAGTGTGCCCACACTGCCGTTGGCCAGCTAGCCGATCGCGCATACGGCCCGATCACGACCACCCCGCTCCGGTATCTCATGCCGGTGCGACCCCATGTGCCGAAGCACCGATAACGGTCGACGAGCTTCTTTGGAGTAAACGATTCATGACATTTTGGATGCGCATGCTGGTTTTTCGAAATCTGTGAGTTCCTCTTGATGCTGGTGTCCTCTGTCGCAGTGACGATAGACAACATGGGCAACTCAACTCTCGAATCGGCTAAAGATATCACTGCCGGCGCGGCGGGAGGAGTCGCTCAGGTTTTGATAGGTATGAGTTCAAGTGCTCGGATCTGATTCTGAAGCAGTCTTTTGGCGAGCTCTTTTGCTGACAAGACTCAGGCCAGCCTTTTGGTACGTGTCGGGAAGAGAGCGCACTACTCCGGAGTCGTATAAGAGCAACACATTGACCCGTCGGCATCGACAGATCTGGTGAAGGTACGACTTCAAACCCAAGGAGGAGGAAATGCTCTGGATCTTGCTCGAACGATCTGGGCCCGTGAAGGGCCGCTGGCGTTTTACAAGGTTGGTTACAAGATTCATGAAACTTGAGCTTCATCTCATAGTATTAGGGAACTCTTGCACCTCTGATAGGTGTTGGAGCTTGCGTAAGTCTCAGTCTATTCCATCAACATATCATTGTCCTCTAAAGGCATTGCGTCCAGGTCAGCATTCAATTCGGCGCTTTCCAATTCTTTCGCCGGCAGCTTGAAGACTTCCGCGGGATAACTCAGTCCAACGGCCTATCGCTGTCTTTGTCCGACTTTTACCTTATAGGCGGAGCAGCTGGTTTAACCAACAGCGTCATATCCGGTCCGATTGAACACGTCCGTATCAGGCTTCAGACCCAGCCGAGCGGCGCAAACCGCCTGTATTCAGGCCCATGGGATTGCGTCCGCACCATCAAGGGGCACTCAGGCATTAAAGGGCTCTACCGAGGCCAAGTTGTCACTCTCCTGAGAGAGTTCCACGGATATGGCATCTGGTTTGCAGCCTATGAGGGCCTGGTTCGTTTCGTGATGGAGCGGGATGGCATCAAAGAAAGGAAAGAAGTGCCGAGCTGGAAGATTGCTATCTGCGGAGGTCTTGCTGGTGAAGCACTTTGGCTTGGAAGTCACCCCCTGGACGTGATCAAGAGTAAGATGCAGAGCGACGGGTATGGCAAGGATCAAAAGTATGCGAACATGAGGGATGCGTTCAAGCAGACGTGGAGGGAAGGCAAGTTCAGGGCGATGTTTAGGGGTCTAGGCCCTGCTTTACTCAGGGCGATGCCGGTTTCTGCTGGCACGTTTGCGACCGCTGAGATGGTGAGGTCTGCATTAGGTTGATTTGACAATACTTTCAAGAGAAACTCTATTTTTCTTGTGCTCGAGCGACTACTTTCCGTGTGGGCTCACATGCTCTGCATTGCTGTCGTCATCGTTGTCCCTGTCCCTACTATCGTCGTCAACGTCAATGTGAAGGGCGAACAAGACGTCACAGCAATGCAACTTCTTCAATGAAGCAGAGAGCTGTACCAGAAAATCAGGGCGGAAAGGGCTCAATTGATAAGAAAATATGATTTTAATATTCGTTAAGGCGACACAGTGCTCTTGAGTCTCCGCCACACCTCTGTCTTCAGAGCGCTGAACTCAGACTTTGTTCGCGAGACGGCGTCCCGATTCTCAACCGCCCTTCGCAGAAGATATGAAAGACAGTCGCCCAGCGAACCCCAACTCAAGCACTTATACACTTCCATCGGTGCCGTTCCCTTGGCTCCCTTTTCTTTAGCCGTGATATCCGCCAGTTGCAACAGACCGAAGCTGACCTCATCGGCCATGCCCAGCAACTGTCCGTACTGAATTTTAGTTAACGGCTGCCCCATCTCAACTCGAGACTGCTGCAGCTCGTTGGCTGCGAGAACACTCTGCTTGTTATGCGTTGCGAGGAAGAGCTCAAGCTCAGGAAATTTAGCTCCCCCACCCCTCCCAAAGTCTCGGTAGGTCTGAGACAGGAGTCCACTAGCGACAGAGTCGTAGGAATCGTCCGTATCTTCCTTGGTGTCGTTGATAAGCTGCCGCGGCTCAGAACTGATATATGCGCCGCGGACAAGCTTAACACCAAGCACGAAGTTGTCCTTGTTGGCTATCTCCATGTGCTTTGCCAGGACGTCCGGTGTGCCCTTGAGATATGCTTGATAGGTGTTGTAGACTACAGCGCCTCTGCCGTTTGTGTTGAACTGGCGCATGAGATCGAGTGCCACTGCATCGATTCCAGGCTGAACCTTGATCTGCTCGGCGTCGACAAAGATGCGAGCCTTCCTTTCGACAGCCCGGGAGCATACTTCAGCGAGGGCTTCCACCATTTGCTTGGGCAGAGGTTTCCCAGATGACAGCGTCTCTGACACAGCTGGCCCCGCGCCAGTGAGTCTAAAAGTCACTCTCAGCAATATGAAAGTTGAGTAAGTCATGGCGGGGAGCTTACTTGAGAGCCAGGATATCACCTTCGCCAACCATCTCAACCGTCGTCAGTACCCCTTCTCGCCATGCCTCAATACCCGAGTCCTTCTCAACCTCTATCTCCTTCTTTGACTCCACCAACCCCTTGCCAACTTCCTCCTCAGTCCGATTGTCGACCACAATCTCCCGTGCATAAGTAAGAATGGCCCCTCGGAAACCCATCCGCTTGATCTCACTGATGGTAGACGTGACCTCGGCTTCATTCTCGCCAGCGCAGAAGTGATTGTACATGGTCTTTTTCATCAAGCCATGCAGCAAGGGGTTCTTCTCAACATTAAACACCCAAAATCGAGGTGAGTCGTTGAGAAACTTAAGAACTCCCAGGGCTGGCGTCAACAAGAAGCTGTTGGACGAGATTGTTGCAACTAGAAGTGATCGCAACAGAACTTTGAGAGGCAGTTTGGAGTGTGGTGGTAGTACGGCCGGGGCTTTGGATAACTGAGACGCATGCCGTACGTGTATGCGCAGCGGGGTGTAAGCTGCACGGTGTGCGTTGAGGGTAAAGTGCCTGAAGGCAGAGCCAGTAGCCCGAAGATGGGAGGCAGGTAATCGGAACATGTTTTTCTCTGCTTTTTCGGCTTTTTCATTGACGAAGCAGTTTCACTACCAGCCGTGAGTTCTTGGGATTGTATATACTAAGGTGCATGATTCAAATGAGTTGGAGGAGTTGACGCACCTAGACGCCGGTTGATGCGGTTTCGGAGGGGTTGCACCGTAGCCGACTTCGGGCACTGTGCTGTCGGTAGCGTTGTCACATTGCCTATCAGTTACAACAGGCAGGATAAATCTTGTGAGCGATAAATACGATCAATTAGCTGATTACATTGAGTTTGATTCAAGTTCAAGCATTTAGTCAAGACAACCCTACTCTGGTTGCCGCCGTCTGGCATTCTCTCCCAAGGAGTCAGTCACAAACAAGCTCTCGCTTGCGTCGTTCGCAAACTTTTCCAAGAGATTGAACACGGCAAAAAGCTATATCATGAGAACAAACCCTAAAGGAATAATCGAAGGGGTATTATGATCAACTGTAAATTCAGTATGCGACACTTAAGATAGAGAGTCTTCTCGTGATATCAGAGTGATGTGGACTATAGTGCGCGCTGGACAGGAGAATGGTTTTATCTTTCAGGTGAAAGAAAACAATGATCATTGAAGATGTTGATGGGCCCTGCCACTCAGCTACTACTCCTATAGCCTGCTAGTAAGTGCTAGAGGCTGCTATATAGCCCTCTCTAGCGCCCTAGCGTCTAGCTAGTTCTTCTCTATAGTATATTATAGTTATTACTACGTTCTTAGGTTATAAGCTTAGCCTTATTAAATTAACCCTAAAAATATTAATTTTAAAGTCCTTTTAATTATTTTAAGTTTATAATAATCTTTTTAATTATCTCTATTATTTTATTATTCTTTTTATATATAAATTAGCTAATTTTATTACTAATTACTTTATCTATTTACTTTCCTAACCTTTAATATATTTTAATATATTATAGTAGAGATCTTATTATATTTACCTTTAATTAAGTATATATAGGTAAGTTTACTACTTTATAAGTTAAACTCTTCTTAATAAACGCTTTATATTATTAATCTCTCTTATTATAACTTCTTACCTTTTTTATTTTATTACTATAAATAAGCTATTATTATAATTAATACTACTATAAGAATAACCCTTATTAATATACTAAAGCTATATAATAAGTTTAACTAAATAACTTAGAAGGTTTCTATTAGTATTATATTTTAAGCTACTTAAGTTAATAACTATATTATTAAAAATATTCTTAAGTTTAATATAAAAGTAAAGAAAGAAGTTTAAGTAGCTAATTAAGATATTATTTATAATATCTTTATTATAGCTATAGAGAGCTTTATTAATAAGCTCCTTAATATAAGCTAAGAGGATAATAGTAACCTATATAAGTTAATAGAAGTTTTAAAGAAATATATCCTAAAAGTCTTAAAAGATATTATTAGTATACTTATTAATAAGTTTAATAAAAGTATTATAGAAGATTATAAGATACTTTATAATATACTTAGATATACTTAATACCTTAAGAGCTATATTACTAGCTTTATTAATATATACTCTAACTATTATTAGTTTATTATCTTTTTTAATTACTTTAAGATAAAGCTTTTAGATATTTATAAGTTTTATATTACTAAT